AAAAAAGGATGAGGAAGAAAGTCACTTCCTTAGAGCCAAAGCCTTTCCTGCCCTTCATTACACAACTTCCTTAGTTCCAAAAGCGGCTGTGGGACTCCCCCAGGGAAGGAAGAGAGCTGGGAGAGTAGTCAGAGGAAGCAGCACACTTCTGTGCCTTCCTGTCCTGTTCAGGTGCATCTACTGAAGTTAACACCTGTGCTGGACAACATGGGGTCCCAGGGCCTCCACCACTGTCCCTGCTGCCTCCAAAGGGCAGCCTGTTGAGAGAAAGGCTTTATTACTCATCTCAGTAATTTAAGAATCAGCGTCTCCCACAAAGATGCCCATAGAACTTCCTCAATGCAAAGTCAAGGTAGGGACTATACTAACATGCCATGTATCATTTCCTTTTCCACACATCTTTCTAGAGGAGAATATCTGCTTTTTTGGAGGTGGGGGCAGGGAGCATGCAAGACATTTGCAATTCCACAAATATACATCATTCATCATTTCATTTTTTTTTTTTTTGGGTCCTGGGGATTGAATCCAGGCGCTTAACCACTGAGCCACATTCCCAGTCCTTTTTATATTTTATTTACAGACAGGGTCTCACTGAGTTACTTAGGGCCTTGCTCAGTTGCTCAGGCTGGTTTGAAATCAAGATCCTCCTGCCTCAGCCTCCCAAGCAGCTCAGATAACTGGCATGCACCATCTCGCTTGGCTATCATTGATCATTTCTTAAGAAACAAATACACAAGTCTGCCATAGAGGAATACTAAATACAAACTCACTAAAGATGATATTCTGCTAATTTTAAGACCTATATTCCCTCCCCTTTACTTCCTATCTCAAATTTTTAAATTCTGTGAGTCCTGTTTTCAGTGTCTCTGATAGCTATATCTGAGTATCTTTGGGGACTCCCAGGACACATGTATCCTGTTGCACATTTGGAAACTAGTCGGATCCAAGCATCAAAAAAGAAGTTACCTTCCCTGAAGTTATACCGTGTACCCAGCTCTATGACTAGTAGTTCCCTGAAGTTATACTGTGCACCCAGCTCTATGACTAGTAGTTCACAACTAGTGGTTAGCTCATTTAACTGGTGATACATAATGAACTCAGAAACATTTTTCCCACTGGTGGTGTGTGATTTTATTTAATTACAAAATTAATATATGCTTATTGAGCAAATGTGGCAACATTGAAGACAGGCTACAGGAGTCATCTCCCCATCCCCCTGAGGGAGTCACAGTTCAATCTGCTTTCTTGCATGGACATTCCCATGTTTAGGCTTTCCAAAATCTAGTTATGATGATACTCTGTGTAATTCTTTTTTGTGTTTTAATATTTTTTAGTTGTAGTTGGATACAATACCTTTATTTTATTTACTTATTTTTACGTGGTGCTGAGGATCGAACCCAGGGCCTCACACATGCCAGATGCTGCTCTACCACTGAGGTGCAGCCCAGCCCCTCTAGGTAAAATTCTGATATACATATTTCACATGCAATTATGCATAGTTGCATTTATATATAATAATTTATTTTTTCAATTAACACTAAAAATGTTTCTTTTTTGTTGTTGTTGCTAGGGATTGAACTCAAGGGTACTTAACCACTGAGCCACATCCCCAGCCCTTTTTTGTATGAGACAGGGTCTCGCTGAGTTGCTTAGGGCCTCACTAAGTTGCTGACGCTGACTTTAAACTCACAAGCCTCCTGCCTTAGCCTCCCCAGCCACTAGGATTACAGGTGTGTGCCACCCTGCCCGGTCTAAAAATGCTTTTTGACAGGGTATTATTCCATTCTCTTTGAACAAATGCATCTATGGCTGTATTATATTTGTCTTAATTACTCTCATGATGAGCTTGACATTTTAATCAATTTATATAGGTCAGGAGGGGAAATTACACTGTCCTTTTCTGTTTAGAAAAAAATAAAAGATCCCAGCGGCTTGGGAGGCTGAGGTAGAAGGATCACAAGTTCAAAGCCAGCCTCAGCAACTTAGTGAGGCCATAAGCAAGACCGTGTCTCAGAATTTGAAAAAAAAAAAAAAGTTTTAAAAGGGTTGGGGATGTGACTCAATGGTTAAGCAACCTTGGGCTCAATCCCCAGGATTAAAGGAAGGAAGGAAGGAGAGAAAGAAAGAAGAGAGACAATGAAGAAAAGAGACAGAGAAAGATTAGGCCATGCAAAGACATCAAAATCATTGAAACATATATTATTTCATTGTTAAATTGCCCTATTTTCCATGAATGACTATGAATTTTATTAAGTACATTAAAATACATACAAATTGATAAATGGGACTAACATCTTCTGGTTTCCTTTCCACTACCTCAAAAAATAAATGAAACATGAATTCCATGAGTTCCATATGCACCTTCAAAAGATGAGCCAGAAAAGTATAAACAGAAGGCTCTCACAGCTGGTGTGGAAACAGTCATTTGACTCAATGTATTAGTCAGGTATGGCTGCTGTAACAAAACACCACAAGTGGAGTTCATTTTCTCCCTGGCTGGATGTCCCAGATCAAGGAGCTGGCAGGTCCATTTCTCCTGCAGCCTCTCCTTGGCTCACAGATGGCTGTTTTGTCACTGTGTCCTCACATAGTCTTTCCTGTGCCTGCACATGTCTGTGTGTAAATCTTCTCTTCTTATGAGGACTCGGTCATACTGGATGAGGGCCCACCCTTGTGACCTCATTTTACCCTGATCACCTCTCTAAAGGCCCTATCCCCAGATGCAGTCACATTCTGGGGTGCTGAAGGTAGGACTTCCACATCAGAATTGGAGTGGGGGACACCATTCAACCCATAAAAAACCTTGGGCAAGTTTAGCCATCTGATCTTTCCTTTTCCTCTCATGCTAGATGTCTGATTAATAAAGAATCTTCCTTTTAAAAGAAAGAAAGAAAAACAGATGTTGTTTCTCTCTAACACTCACTCAGCCTACTCTACCCAGAAAAATTTTTGAAGTTCTTTTCTTCATTTGAAGTATCAGATCACAACTGCACTGGGCAGGTTTTCAAATCTTGGGTAATATCTCAGACTAGCAAGGGGCACAACTTTTGCACTAAATTCCTTTAAGAAATAGCCCCAGACTTTCTGCCATTTCAAAAGGGAAAGAAAGGAAAGAAAATGCTAATAAACAAGGCTGCCCCTGACACTCCTGAGGCCATATTTTTTTCAAACCAACTTCTTAGTTCCTGATGTCACAGAATCATTGCCCTTCAATGGTCTCTTAATCGCCTGTCCCCAATGAGCCCCAGACCAAAAATAAACCCTATTTTCTTCTTGGCACCAGATTATAGTGTTTCTGCCCAAATGTAAACACCTCAAAAACCTCTCCCAAAATATCTCCTAATTAAAAACACAGTGAAAGAAGACACCTAACTCTGTAAAGATTTCATTCCCCACCAGCCACTCCAAGGCTAGGAAGAAGTGGGTTTGACATGAGCCGGTCCAGAGAAGGCTATGCTTTGAAGAAACAACCATCCCATCGGCCCTTCTGTTCTTTGATTTCCACAGGAGACACTGTGAGCCATCTTGTATCCTTTTTCCATATCTTTTGGTGGAATCTAATCTCATTTTGCTAAAGGTCGCCTCCCCTGCTCAGCCTGCCGTGCCAGCGGGGATGCATGTTGCATTTTGACCCAGCGCAGAGTCCTCTTGAGCTTATTCACATGAGACTGCTGAAAAAGGCCAGTCTCCCTGAGAGAGGCAATATCCCCTTTCCCTGGCCCATGTGCCCACGAACATCATTCCAAACAGTGGCTGTATTTCGAACCAGGTGAGTGGTTCTGAATCTCCTGGCTCAAGAAATGCAAATAGAGGAACTCTTCAGTAGGGTGACGGGAATAGAGTGGGAAAGCCCACGTTTTCTTTCTTCTAGATGGTCATAGTGCGGTTGAAATGTAGGACCTGGGCTTCTCCTGTGTCCTGGCCCTGGGCAGGCCAAGGCAGTGCTGGCTTGCTGCGTGGACCACAAAAGACCTCACCCTTGGTTGGGAGCCTGTCTGCCATGATCAGTCCAACCACCAAAGAGGACAAACTGACTTCATTCAGGGTCTGTGATCTCCTTCTGTTAACACAGAAAAAGAAGTTGTCCACTAACCGGACCCAGCGAGGACGTTCCAGGCCTTCTCCTCTTCTGGCTCAGAGCCTGCAGAGCAAACCCCAGTGGGCCCACCCTACAGAAGAACACCAAGTGGAAACAGTTGAGCGCAGAGAGTTCAGAGAAATCCCTAGAAAATCTCCTCGAGAAATTACCAGCCAGTGCGGTCACTGATGTCACTGTTAGCACAACAACATTTACAATAATTGGTAACGTGACTACATAGGAAATGTCCACGTTCTAAAGTGTCTTTACAGGAAGATAGGGATTGACAGAACAAATGAAGAACCATTGAAAGAACAAATAAAGCATCAGAGAAAGGTACAGGTAAGATGTTGACACCTTACAGATAAATCTTAAAGGTTGGACTCTTTTTCATAAAAGGTGATTTGGAAAAAAAGAAATGATGCCTGTGTTTGTTACATCATTCCAAGCATTTTAATTGTCACTTTTCCCCTCTGGAATAAGAATAGCTTCTGGGCACGATGGCATGCCTATAATCCCAGTGGCTTAGGAGGCTGAGGCAGGAGGATCACAAGTTCAAAGCCAGCCTCAGCAACTTAGCAAGACCCTTAGCAACTCAGCAAGACCCTGTCTCTAAACAAAATATAAAAAGGGCTGGGGATGTGGCTCAGTGATTAAGTGCCCCTGAGTTCAATCCCTGTTACCTCCGGCCCCTGAAAAATTAAAAAAAAAAAAAAAAAGGATACTAATATTTTCTAAGAAAGTTTTTGGAGCTCCTGAGTCCTGGATAATGAGCCATTTCAGTTTGCCTATGATTGACAGGACTGCTAGAATATGGGATTTAGGGTGCTCATACTGGGCCAGGCCCAAGACAGCCAGGGTGAACCAAATGGCTCATGTTCCTTTTTACCTCCCAATTACAAATGCATACTCCATTTTACAGGTGAGACTCTGGACAGCTCAGCTCTGATAAGGACTGTCTCGTCGGAGGCCCGAGGGCCCACGTGGATCCCACCTGGCAATCAAAGCAATGATCACAAATGTTGTAACCAGAAGCCACAAAACCAAGTTACAGTCAACTTCCTTTGACCTCCCCTGGGAATTTCGTGGCCCATTACTCTGGGCTAAGGTAAACCACTTTGTCCCTTCTGTGTTTAGAGAAGATACAAAGAAAATAAGAGAGGAAGGGAGAGAGAAATCAATCTTCATCAGCAAGTGATTTCCTCCAGAGGCACCTTTAGATCATTAGTATAACAAAATGCATTTCTTTTTCCAAAGTCTGTGCTAAGGTTGAGAGAACGACTTTAACCACAGCATAAACGAGGGCCTTCAAGGGGTGAGGTTGTGAATTGCCCATCAGGCCAAGGATTCATGGGTGGCTGCCTTCTTTTTATTTATCTCTGAGAGTTCCCTGACCCTCCACCTGGGACTGCCTTTACTGATATGCATTTTTCAGTTTAGCCAAACCCTGAAGTTACAGGCAAGAGGAGATTTAATAAGCTGGGGGAGGGAGCATTCACGAATGTAATAAAGGTTTTCCCAATAGTAAGTCAAGCATGCTTGTATACTTTAATTGAAAATAAATACCTTATAAATGAAGCATGTAACTACATACAAGACCCATGAAGAAAATGAATTGATTTTCAATTAGATTTGATAATGTGAATTTGTAGGGTGTGATAATTTGGGACATCTCTTTGGCTCTCCATGGTCTTTAAAATTTGGCAAAATTTGTCTTGAGGGTTAAGCCTTCTTTTGGGGATCTGGAATTGAACTCAGGGGCACTTAACCACTGGGCCACATCTCCAACTCTTTTTTTATTTAGAGACAGGGTCTCACTGAGTTGTTTAGGGCCTCACTAAGTTGTTGAGGCTGGCCTTAATCTCATTGTCCTCCTGCCTCAGCCTCCCCTGTTAACTGTAAGGCTTCTGGCACCACATTTCCAGCTTTATTTTTCTCTGTTCCCAAGTCTTCTTGTTGAACTCTACCTCGAACATTGTCTTAGCCCCTCACCTTTACTGGGTGCTGCTGGAAACCTCCCCAAACCTCTGCCATGAGACCTGCCAGGGACACACCCAGCACCCTCTTCTCCTCTTGCTTGGTTTTATAGCACCCTTTTTTAACTTGGGAAGGAACTATCCAGACCAAGCTCAGTCCATCAGTTGAGTGGAGGTGAGACCGTCTTTCACTCCAGAGGCCAAAGGAAAAATGACCATGTTGTCAAAAGGGAGCCCTATTTGTATATTTTGCTGGATTTATCAGGAAAAAAGATACTTCATTTTTTTTTCTGGACAGATGGACTCAATATCAAGGTGAGCTTTGCAGAGCTGCTATCCATCTTTACCTAGACAGGAAGTAAGTCTATCAGAAAACAAGGTCACACAGAGTAAAATAACCCCTAAATGGAGAGACAGCTCTCTAATGGGATCATAAGGTATCTGGATACATCTGAACCTGAAGCAGGATGCCCTGCATTTTTTTTAAATTAGGTAAGCAACATATTTACCTATTTTTACTTCAACTAGTTTGAGTTGAACCTCTGTCACTAAAAACTAGAAAACACAAACTTTTGGATTATGCAAACTCTTCCAGCAATTATGGATTCATCTCAAAGGTCACCACTTTCCTGAAGCTTCTTTAGCCTCAACAGAGGGATGACCTTTTTTACTTCAAAATATTCTAGGACTCAAAGTCTTCTAGTACTCTGAGTATTTCTCATGATGTTCTTGTCATCTACTTTGGGTTAAAATTATATATCAATGTCATGAGACTCTAAGCACCTTGAGGACAAGGACTGGGTCTCTTTTATTCAGCACAGTCTTGCACACAGCAAGTGCTACTACCCATCTGTAAATTTCATGGGATCAAATTTACTTTGCAGGTAAACAAGTTTCTTTTAAAAATCCTTCTGCTCACCCAAGGATAACATCCACACCTACCTTACCCAGAAGTCAGAAGGCACTGAGTCAGGAGAGGTAAAAAGGCATGATTGTGGAGAGAACAAGCTAAGGTGTATTTATTTCTTCACCTTCAACAACACGATGACTATGATTTATAATGTGTGTAGAAATCCTGTCATACAGTCAGCAAGGTAGAGACTTGAAAATTAGGTGCCTCGTGAAGTTTGGTGAAAGAAGAAGCATATTTGGTTTTTGACTCTGGTTTCTGGCAAAGAGCACCTAAAATTTCCTGAATGATAAGGAGGTTTCCTTTGCTTTTTTTGGTGATTTTTTTTTAGTTGTAGATGTTCATAATACCTTTATTTTATCTATTTATTTTTATGTGGTCTGAGGATTGAACCCAGTGCCTCACACAAGCGCAATACCACTGAGCCACACCCCCAGCCCCATCTTTTGTTATTTAAAAGTAAAGTCTACAAACTCATGAGACCTTCAAAGTCCTGGGGTTTCCAATCCTCTCAAGGCCTGATTGTTGTATTTGATTTAATTGTTCTATTTAATCAAAAGAACTTTAAATGATTTGCGAACACCAAGAATGATGTTGAACATGACAAAGAGGTATGCAATCATCAAAATGATAAGGTGTACAAATACAAAAGTATGACTAAGATATAATTTTAGGAGAAAGTACATGAAATGAGCCAGACATAAAAAGTCACATACTACATGATTCCATTTCTATGAAATATCTCAAATAAGTCCACAGAGACAAAATGCAGGTTGGTGGTTGCTAGGGGCTAGAGAAGGAAGGAAATGGAACCAACTGCTTAATGTGTCCATTTTTTAAAAAATTGGTGTAGGGTGGAGGATGATGAAAATATTTTAGAACTAAAAGAGGTGGTAATTGTCCTCCTCAGCACCTTCAGTCCTGTCCTGTCAGTCACCTCTACATAATACCCATGGGTCCCATGTCTGTGTTGGTCATCTTCGCATCACGGGGGCCCACACCTGGGAGGTGACCAGTCCTTGCGCTGGTCAGAAGCCCTCTTCCCTAGCTGAGAGTGACTGTTTGCTGTCACTGACGTTCCATTGTGGGGGACCTGGGCTGTACTTCTGTATCTGGTCTCTCTCTTAGAGGGGGGAGGTTCATTCTGACGCCCTATTGGAGAAGATCCAGTCCATGACTGGCTGACTCCAAGGTAGTTCAATATGGCGCAAGGGCGTGGAAGAGGGACACTAGCTGCTCAGTTTGTGGCAGCCAGAAAGCAAGAGAGAGAAGGAAGCAGGCTCTAGGGACAAGAGAAACACCCCCAGGGACCGACCTCCTCCAACTCACCCCCACCGTAGCCCACTCAGCTCTCCAGGCACTGACCCACTGATGAGGTCAGCACCTCAAGATCCAGTCACCACCGAGAAGCCCACCTCTGGACACTGCGGCCTTGGGGCCAGGCCCTTAACATGAGCTTTCAGGGACATTCCAGATCCAAACCCTCACAGTGTCACACCTGTACCTCCCAGACCACATTTCTAATATGTTGGCGTGACTTATATTGAAAAATGTTCACCTTTAAAAAATATTCATACCATTTAATTTATCATACATTTTTTAGTGTGAAACATTAGTATCATTGTTTCTTTTGAAAATTCACATAAGAATGAAAGTACAAAATTTTAAAAATCCCCATTGTTCTGTTACCTAGAAAAAAAAACATATATATATTGGCTTTGTACACACATGTGGGTACACTTACAGGTATACACAGTCATGGGTGGATACATTATATATATATATATATATATATATATATAATCTTGCTATATATATTTTTTCTTAATAACGTTATGAGTAATTTTCTCTGTCACTAAATATTTCAAAATAGCACTTATTTTTTGTACCAAGGATTGAACCCAGGGGTGCTTAACCACTGAGCCTCATCCCTAGCTCTATTTTGTATTTTATTTAGAGACAGGGTCTCACTGAGTTGCTTAAAGCCTCACTAAGTTGCTGAGGCTGGCTTTGAACTTGAGATCCTCCTGCCTCAGCCTCCTGAGCTGCTGGGATTAGGCATGCGCCACCATCAAAAATTTCATTTTTGATCAAACAATACACAATGTGACTTAAGTAATAACTGAAGTATAGAGTGCCTAGAGGAAAATCTCCTGCCCTGATATATATATCACACCATCCCCTCTGGGCACGACCAATACTCACAGCTCCTCATGAATCCTTCCAGATATCTGTGCATTCATAAATATTAGTCTAAATGCATTATTCCTGTACAATATCTTATTATTTTCCACCTACTGAACTGTTTGGACATAGCATCTTTATTCTTCTTACAGCTGTATACATCTGTATTGTTGAGTGTTATGTCCTTACTCAGTCCCCGTTGGATGCATATTTAAGCTGCCTTTAACCTTTAGCTGTCAGAGACAATGGAGCTGTGAATGATCTTGTAAATATACCACTTTACCTACCAACAGGAGAGAAAGAGTGTGTGTGTGTGTGTGTGTGTGTGTGTGAAGTTAAATTACTAAGTCACTACATTTAAGGATCGTAAAATAATATTTTAATATCATTAAAAAAGAAATGAGAGAGCAAGAAGAGAAAATGAAACATTAGAAGGCTGGTCGGTCTGGTGGTTATTCAGTGGTAGGAGATGTCCCGTATCTTCCAGGTTGCACATGTCTGGACTCCCTGGGGGACTGTCCCATTCTCCCTGGTCTGCTTAGGTGTTTAGAAATATCCACCCATCAGGGGTGGGAAGGTGGGAGCTGGAAACCTGGTGGCAGAGCGGCCTCCACCCCAGAGCAGTTGGGGCAGCCCCAGGGCCTGAGGGCAGTAAGGAGAGTTGGACCTGCCCAGGGACAGCTGGGCCTTGAGCCCCGTGGTGACGCCACAGCTTTCCCTTCATAGTACAAGACGGGGACACCTGTAGAGGTGGAGACTGATTTTCCAGAGGGGAGACCATCTCCCACACCAGGGATCTGCTCCTCAAAGCCTCCATGTGAGTCTTCATTTACCATCCCGCCTGGTCCTGTCCTGGGGAAGCTGACCTCAGGTACTCGAGGAAGCCCTTTTCGGAAGCAGGTCCCCAGTTAGTGCCCAAATCAGAGTTGTACACTGTGATGACTTTGGTCAACGTGAACACGTTCACGAGGGCACCCTCCGGTCAATCTGTGGGACAGAGGCAGACCCCAGAAGCCCACTGTGGCCCTCCATCGCTACCGCTGAGAGTGACTGTTTGCTGTCACTGACGTTCCATTGTGGGGGACCTGGGCTGTACTTCTGTATCTGGTCTCTCTCCACGTCAGGTAGAACCTTGCTGCAGCTTCATTTTCTTCCTACTGTCATGTGTAGCTAATTAGAACAAATTTTTTAAAAAGTGCCTCTCAGAACTATTGCGTTGGGCATTAAGTTCCTAACGTGCTATTTCAGGGACACCGTAAATAATCATGCCAACACTTAAAGCACATCGGGCCCCTTAACTCCGAGGGAGCTCTTGAAGGCTGCGTGGTCTTATTTCTGTCTTTATTTCAAGGACCCAACATGGAGCCCATCACCTAACAACTGCTCCCATGACACAAGTGTCCTGGGCCTGATCTTTCTTTCCTCTCTTCATTCTTTTATTCTTTTTTTTTTTTGGTACCAGAGATTGAACTCAGGGATGCTTACCCACTAAGTTGCTTAGGGCCTCGCCAAGTTGCTGAGGCTGGCTTTGAACTCATGATCCTCCTGCCTCAGCCTCCAGCTAGGATGACAGGTGTGCGTCCTGGCACCAGTTTCCTCTCCTCACTTCTCAACCACATGGTTGGTCCTCCCCTGCCTGCCCAGCATTTGAATGGCTCAGTCCGTCCCTAGGCCTTTGTTCTGGGCCTTCTCTTGTTTCTCTGGAGTCCTTGCGCTGGTCAGAAGCCCTCTTCCCTAGCTGCACATTAGAGTCACCTGGGGAGGTGATTTGAAACCTCTAGTGCCCAGGCCCCTCTGCAGAGATTCTGCCTCTCTGGGTCTGTTCTGAAGGAGCTCCCTGGTAATGGCACCCCGCTCCAGCCTCCCCAGGCTGTCTGTTATGGGGCTAGAACAGAGAAGCATTGCCCAAGACCAGGATCTCCAACTGGGGCCCCCAACCAGCGGGCATCTGCCTCCTCTGCAAAGTGTTAGACATGCAAATGCCTGGGCCCCACACAATTGTTCCAAGTGCAAATTCTTAGGCCCTCAGAATCAGAAACTGGGGGTGGGGCGCTGCAGGCCATTCTGAGGCCTGCTGAGTAAAGTGTGGGAAGCTCTGCCCTGGGGACCTCCTGCCCTCCTAGGAATTGGGAGCACACAGAAGACCACCTTCTCCTGCTGACCAGCCTGGCCTCTTCCAGGAACACCAGCTGTCTTTCTGGCTGACCTTCCTCCACAGGGTCTTTCCAATGTCCCCAACACATTTTCTCCTCACCAAACTATTTTTCCCAATTACAGTGATTGGCACCAATCTCCTGAGTTGTGAGAGACAAAAACTTGGGAGTTTGTGATCTAACACCTGGGAGGTGACCTCACACCAAGGAGGTACAGAAAGGTAAAGAAAGAAGGCTCCCTCAGCCTCCCACCCTTTCCCCTTTTCTGGAGAAGACATTGGGTCTCCACTCCTCATGAACTGTGTGTCCCCAACAAAGTCCCGATGTGGAAGTCTAACCTCCAGTGTGACTATATTTGGAGACTGGGCCTTTCAAAGGGGATTAACAGTGAGTGAGATAAGAGATGAACTCTAATCCAGGGAGGCTGTTGGAAAGGCCTGTTAGATCACACCGAGGTGCCTGTTACAGGCCACACCCAGGGGACTCTCAGGACACCAACCTGTCCACACTCTGATCTTGCACTTCCAACCTCCAGAACTATGAGAAAATACATTTCTCTTATCTACAGCAGATATTTTTTTTTGGGGGGGGTGGGGGTGGAGGTGCTGGGCTGTTCTGCTTTGGTAGCCTGTGGACATTTTTAGGTGTCAATTGGACTGGGCCATAGGGTGTCCAGACGTTTAGTGTGACATTATTGTATTTCTGTGAGCGTATATCTGGATGAGATTAATACTTAAATCATTAGACTAAGTAAATCAGATTTCCCTCCCTCCTGTGCCCTCCTCCAGTCAGGCCTGAAGAAAAAGATGGCGGAGCCCCTTCCAGAGTGGGTGCATTCTTCCTGCCTGCACACTGGGATGCTGGTGCTTGTACTTCGTACTGGAAGTGAAACTGTGGTTCCCCCTGGGTCTCAAGCCTGCTGGATTTAGATGGGACCCACACTGGGGCTGTCTGGTTCTCAGACTCTGGACTCACACTGCAACTGTCACACCCTCTAGCCTGAGCCTCCAGCTCAGCCGGAAGACACTGGGACTCCACTCCTCATGATCACCTGGGCCCATTCCTTATGCTAAGTCAGCATGTGTACAGCTTTACACACACATGTGTAAATATGTGTGTCTACACACTCGAACATATTAACTCTTTTCATTTTTCTGGAAGACTCCAATTAATCCCTAAGGTACAACATTAGTAGACAAAGACCTCCCCTCTTCCCAGTTGTTCATCTTCCTCACGGGATAACTGCTGTATTTAGCTTCTTACATAATCTTTCAGAGTTTCTTTAGAATATAGAAGCAAAATGAGGAAATGTACCGCTATTTTTTCCATGCCCCCCCAGACATTCCTTTCACAGAGGAACTACATTTCCTTGTCTGGGTGTTTTCTGATTCATTCACTCAGGCCCTCCTCGTTTATATTTTTTGTGATGCTTGCCATTAGAAGTGATAATGCTATGGGGAATTTTGTATAAGTCATTTTCTACACAAGCAAACACAACCGGTATGTAAAATGTAAAACGCCAGGTGGGGGGTATGAGGGCACAACTTTGATGGATCTTATCAGATTTCCTTTAGATACGCAACAGCCACGCATAAGAGTTCCCTGGAGCCTTAGTAATGGACTGTGTTCCTCAAACTTTTAGATTGTGTGTGTCTGGTAATTGAAAAGTTTGGATTGGTACAATCTGAATTTTTCTTTTTAGGAGTAAAATGAAGTATCTTTCCAAAAGTCTTGGCCATTTTTATTTTCTTTCTTGCGAGATATCAATAGTAGGTTTTTTCTTATAGGTGGAAGGAAGGATCTCTCCTGTTATGACCTGAAAATATTTTTTCTGAGTTCCTCATTCAATTCTGATGTAAGTATGATATGCTGTGATTTGTAGGTGTCCCCCCAAAAATGCATGTGTTGGAAACTTAATCCCCAATGCAACCATGCTGAGAGGTGGAGTCTCCGGAGAGATGACAGGGCCAGGGGGGAGAGCCTGTCGACTTGACACCAGTACTGCAGGTGGATAGGGGTACTGGCACCCCTTTCTTCTCTGCCCTTCTGCCATGCCATGTCCTCGCCATGTTGTGACGCAGGAAGAAGGCCCTCACTAGATGCAGCTCCCTGGTGCTGGCCCTCCAGAACTGCCAGCCACGGCCTTCCTGGGGTTGCAGATGACCTTCTCTGGCATTCTGAGTAGCAGCACAAAGTGAACTAAGACACACTGTCTCTTGTTGTGTGCAATTTGTTTTTATTTGCTTTATAACTAGGTTAAGTGTTTCAAGTTTTGGTCTTTTTTAATGGCTTGTGGGTTCTGAGTCATGCTCAGAGGCCTTCCTTATGCCACAATACAGAGCTGTTACTCCTGCTGTCTCCTCTCGACAAGTTTGATTTAGTTTTTTACATTCAATTCTTGATCATCTGATATGGACAACACACGGGTTAAGAGCATGACATACAGAGTCCACTTTATCTGCATGTGTGTGTTTGTTTTTGTTGTTGTTGTTGTTTGTTTTCTTTTTTGTACCAGGGTTTGAACCCAGGGGTGCTTAACCATGCAGCCCCATCCCCAGCCCTTTTTTCTATTTTATTTAGAGATAGGGCCTCACTGAGTTGCGTTTTCACAGGTGACTATCAAGTTCCTCTCAGCACCCAGAACTGAGTGAACTGTGCTCCTAGTCTAACTGAGAGACCATCTCTATCAGAACTAAGTCCTCACCGTGAGATCTCTTTCTGGATTTTAATATTCTCTTCCGTTGGCCTGTCTGTTCATTTACAACCCAGTATGGCCCAAATTCATTATGAAGGATTTCTGTTCTATTTTATTACCTGGCATTCTTTCTAGATTCTCTTCATTGTCTACATCTTTTGGCTTTTCTCAAATAAAACTTTGATTTGTCTCAAACAAAAGAAAAATAAACAGGAAAAACTGTATGGAGAATCTAATCATTTTATAGACATCTTAGAGAGAGGGGCACCTTTGCAATAGTCTTACTCACATCTCCTGAGAGGTCTTGAATGTTTTGAAATGTTCTTCATATAGGGCACTCGCATTCCTGTTCCTTTGTTTCTTCCTTTTTGGTCCTGGTGATTGAACCCAGGGATGCATTATCACTGAGCCCCATCCCCAGCCTTTTTTATATTTTCTTTAGAGACAGGGTCTCACTGAGTTGCTTAGGGCCTCACTGAGTTATTGAGGCTGGCCTTGAACTGGCAATCCTCCTGCCTCAGCCTCCCGAGCTGCTGGGATGACAGGCCTGGGCCACCGTGCCAGGTGATTTTTCTTGCCATTCTCTATGGGGTTTTGTTCTTTCATATTCTCTGGATAATTGCTATTTATATACTTGAAAGAGCAGTTTCTGCATAGTAATTTTAGGACTCCTTGGTTTGTGTCCCCATTACTTGCCATGACATCCTTCACCAAGTCCTGTTGATTCTACCTCGAATAGATACTTGAATGTGCCTGATTCTTGGCAGCGCCACTAACACATATGTTTCACCTTACTTCAAGACACTGATTTCAGCCAAGCCTGGTGGCGCATGCCTCTAATCTCAACTGCTGGAGAGGTCGAGGCAGGAGAATCACAAGTTCAAAGCCAGTCTCAGCAATTTAGCGAGGCCCTAAGCAACACAGAGAGACCTTGTCACTAAACAAAAATACAAAAAAGTGGGGCCTGTCATATGTCATATGTCATATATGGGCACCCTTATACCGAACAAAAAAGGAAAAAAACACACAGATTTCTCATCCAGACAATTGCAATATTTCGTTAACTCCATTCTCCATACAGCAGCCAGAAAGATCTTTTTAAACACAAAAAGAACACTGTCTTAGACACTTGTATGTAGCTATAACCAAGTACCTGAGGCTGGGTGATCAGTAAAGAAAAGAGTTCTTTACTTTGCAGTTCTGGAAGCCCCAAGAGTGTAGCAGCCTCATGTGTTCAGCTTCTGGTGAGAGCCACATGCGGCATCAAACATGGTCAAAAAGTGAAAGAGATCACACAGTAAGGAAAGAGGTACAGAAAACCAAGGGAGCCCCACGGGGGGTCTATAACAACCTGCTCTTAGAAGCTATCTTACTCTCATGGGAACACCCTAATCCCTCATGAGGGCAGCTCTCACATGATCCACCTGCACCTCCCAACAATACAGCAGAGACCAAGCTTCAAGAGGTCTGAGCCACAGAAAGCATTTTTCTGTTCCCTTATCTAAAATACTTCTGAGGCTTCTCCTTGGATTAGAAGGAAATGCAAACTCCTTCCCTTGAAGGTGAAGACTCATTCTGTTCTAAACTGTCTCTTCTCATTTCTGGAATTGGAGTGACCAAGGCTTCTTTGGATTCTCAAACACACTACCTTCTTTTTCTTGACTCCCTTTTAATCTCTTTTACAATACTCAGTAGGATCATTCTACACCTATTTATGACTTACTGATTTTGTGTACCTCTTCCCCACTCTGCCACCTGCAAAGTACATAGAAGGTGTTCAATAAACATATTTAGTGAATGAATCCACAAATATCTTTCCGGTTTATATAGTCAGAGCTTGGAAAGCTTAAATACATACATATATTTGTGTATATGTGTGTGTGTGTATGTGTGTGAGTGTATGTGTGTGTGTATTTTTCCTGTTACATAGCTTTATTCCCCATTCATGCTTTAAATCCCTGATTACCATCTGTCAAACGCTTATATTTCTAAGTCACTAGCTTCCTCCAGAAGCCTCATGGCCATAATAAATCTCTTCTCAGCATTTGTTCCCATGTACATAAAATATATAAGGTTATTTTCAAATAATGAAGTGCATATTGAATGTTACAGAAAAAGGTAAGGTTATACATATTTATGAGAACTTTTTTCCCTAAGAGTAATGATACCACTCTATATTTTCTTTATATATTGTCTCTTTATTTAAAAAGAAAAACATTATTTTTCTTATTAAAAATTAATTTATTCTTGGTGTAACAATAAACAGTATGGAAATGAGGAAGTCTAAATGTAGAAAGAAAAGATCTCCATAATTCCCAGTCCCAGAGAGGACCAGGGGTCACAGTTGAATGTATATCCATCTTTTTAGACTTTTTAAAATGCACATCATATTCTAGCACAGGCTGAGAATTCATTATTGTTGTTTTACTTCAATTTTACTACTGTTAGGCCCAATTAGAGGAACAGCTCTGTGACTTGGATTCTGAACAATACATCTTGGATGTGTTTATGTGCTAAACAT